GCCTCCACTGCATTCACCCGGAAGCCCCGCCGAAGGATCGGGCCATCGGCGCCCTTGCATGCACGTGCGGTAGGTTTGCGCCGTGTCGACCAGCGGCGACCCCAGCGCGGGCGTTCAAGGTTGAACGCCGCCGGCGACCCTGAATCGGTCGGCGTTGAAAGATCTTACGTTTCGGAAGCGGCCGATCGTTCAAGGTTGAACGATCCGCACGGTGTCAAAAACCAACACCGGGGTCGACACGACACGAACCTTCAGCATGGCTCTCCCCCATGGGCTATTCGCCCTCACCGTCGCCCCCGAGATCGCGGCGGTCCGCCGTCGGCGGCGATTCGCAGCGGGGGCCTCCGTCCTGAGGCCCGCGGTGGCGTGGAGGCTCGATCGGCATCGCCAGAGCATATTTACCTAACAGCGAAGACTGATAGGTTTCTAGTGGACTCAAAAGCGCTCACAGATCACTCCACAGGGGGGCCCGGGCAGGTGTTGGGAGTTGCCGGGCGGCAGGGTGCCCCGCTCGCTTTTCACCAACAGTCACACACTTCGTGCTCTTCGATTTCCCAGAACTCCATTCCCAGGCCACATTCTGGAGGGCCGGATGCAACAGTCACACACTTCGTGCTCTTCGAGTTCCCAGAACTCCATTCCCGGGCCACATTCTGGAGGGCCGGATGCAACAGTCATACACTTCGTGCTCTTCGAGTTCCCAGAACTCCATTCCCGGGCCACATTTTGAATGCCCGGAGCCAACTGTAGGCCACTTCGTGCTCTTCGAGTTCCCAGAACTCCATTCCCGGGCCACATTTTGAATGCCCGGAGCCAACTGTAGGCCACTTCGTGCTCTTCGAGTTCCCAGAACTCCATTCCCGGGCCACATTTTGAATGCCCGGAGCCAACTGCCACTTCGTGCTCTTCGAGTTCCCAGAACTCCATTCCCGGGCCGCATTTTGATGCTGATGCAGAGGCTGAGAATGGTGATGCTGATGCTGAGGCTGAGGCTGAGGCAGGCAGGCTGAGGCTGATGAGGCTGAGGCAGGCTGAGGCTGAGGCCGAGGCTGAAGGCAGGCTGAGGCAGACGCTGAGGCAGGCTGAGGCTGAGGCAGGCTGAGGCTGAGGCTGAGGCTGAGGCAGGCTGATGCTGAGGCAGGCTGAGGCTGAGGCTGAGGCTGAAGGCACTGAGGCTGAGGCAGGCTGAGGCAGGCTGAGGCAGGCTGAGGCAGGCTGAGGCTGAGGCTGAGGCTGAGGCGGATGCAGGCTGATGCTGAGGCAGGCTGAGGCACAGAGGCTGAGGCTGAAGGCAGACTGAGGCTGAGGCTGAAGCAGGCTGAGGCTGAGGCTGAGGCAGGCTGAGGCTGAGGCTGAGGCAGGCTGATACTGAGGCAGGCTGAGGCTGTGACTGCGACTGCCGCTGCCCTGCGACTGTCATCGCGAAAAAGCGACTGCGACTGGCGAGAACAGCAGAACTCTACAACTGGAATCTCATCTGAATCTTAAGGGGAAAGCTTCCATATATGCTTCTACACATCGCTGTTAGGTTGCTTTACCGGGATAATTTCACTAACAATCGGTTGTTGAAAGCAGATACTTGTGGATTCCCAGATTCAAATCCAGATCATGCTCTTCGAAGAGAAGCGCCATGAACATACACTGTTGGCGCTCCGTGCGGATTTCTTGGGTCCGCGCTGGGGCTCGCGCGGCGGCGCCGCCGGCGCCGCTCCTGGATCCAAGAAATCCGCGCGGGGCGCGAAGAGTTCAAGTTTGTGGCGTTTTTCTTTTTCGAAGAGAATATTGTGGATTGGAATCTGGGAATCTAAAACATATCTTCTTTCAACGACCGAGTGAGTATGCTTTCGCGATGCCGTTGTTTCTTCTTCTGGCTATGTGTGCGCCAGTCCCCAGGGAACTGACGCGCGCGATCGGAAATCTTACAGCATGTGCTCCATGTCGGGCGATTTCTTGCCATACCGCCTGGGCGGCGACGTGCTACGATATGTCTGCACCATCCGTTCGGTTCGGACTCGCGCCTCCAAGGGGGGGCGCATCGTACTACTCTATCCTGCTGGGCCTCTCTTGATCCGCAGAGAATGCAGGAAAGGCAAAAATCACAAGGATAGGGCCGAACGAAAGGGGGGGATAGGGAACGGGGAGGGGGGTACGTAATCTGCTGTATGCAGCTGGTTTCGGCCCCGCCGCCGGGCCCATTCCTCGATACATGGGCGCCTTCTGGCACATGGGCGCCTCCCGGCGCCAGGAGGCGCCGGGAGAATCAGCTACGTGAGCTGATTATATACCCTACCCTTTTCTATCCCCCCCTTTTCGTTCTGCCCGAAAGGAGCGTGAGGCGGGGGTAGGCTCAGGCCGTACGTTCCGCAGTTCCGTGCTCGCAGTTTGCTCACGTTTCCGTACTCGGCGGTGGACAAACCTCCCTTCAGCAAACCTTCTTTTCGTAAAAACGGCCCAGGACCGACACCGAACCTGGACCCGCAAAAATGACAGCCGCGACGCCCCCCCGCGATCCGAAAACGGCCAATTCGCTGGTCGACGTGTCAGGGTAGGAGGCCCAGCGACCTGAGCCTGTTTTTTTTTAGACTCTGGCAAGTTTAGTTGCATGGACGGGGGGGGGGGGGGGGCGAACGCCATGCAAGTAAATTTGCCTGAATAAAAAACAGGCTCCCAGCGACTTCCGATCGGTCTGTTCTCCGCGGCCCTCCGGCCCCGGGGTGCCTCCGGCCGCGGCCTCGCCTCGCCGAGCGGGGGCGGCGCCGGGAGGTGTCGGGCTCGTCCTCGAGCGGCCGCCGGAGGTCCGACGTCTGACCCGGGAGCCAGGCGACGAGAGGAGGAGGAGGAGGAGGAGGAGGAGGAGGAGGAGGACGAGGAGTAGGAGGAGGAGGAGGAGGAGGAGGAGGAGGAGGAGGAGGTCTGCAGGAGCAGCGTCCGGGGGGGATAGGATCAAGTCGGGCCTGTCCCTCTACAGGGGGGAAGATTCAAAAGTGGTCAAGCAATAGTCAGGGGATGTTTTTGTTAACATGTTTGGGACACTTGTTATGTATTTGTCCTTTTTCGTCCAAGATTCCCCTGTAGGGGGGCAGGCCCGACCTAAGGATAGGAGCGTCTTCCTTTATTGCTTGGGGCATGATGGGCATTATTGCCCCCGGCCCCCCCTCCCCACCCCCCTATAACGTAACGCCCCTCTCCCCCCAGTGCGCGCTCTGGGCACTGCCGCCGTGCGCACGGCGGGGGGGAGGCGTTACATTCTACCCCTCCATGGCCCCTCCCCCTCCCCCTACATAATGCCCACTGTCGCCGAACGTAAAGAAACGCGCTCCAGGCTCAGGGGGGACGCATCGACCTTCAACTGCTTGTTCGTCGCCGACTGGACCCGATTCAGAGGAGAGCAAGCTGAGACAACGACAGGTGGCCTTCGGGGGGGCCCATCGTCGCCACGGCCGGACGCGTCTCGGAAAACTGGTGCAACGTCGGGCGTGTCCCTTCACAGGAGGTAAACTCAAAAATAGTCCAACAACAGTCCGTAGCCATTTTGGCTCAAGCCTGGTTCAAAGCCAAGCGCCTCCCACTGAGCGTACCCCGAACCTCTGCGCACAAGCAGGAGGTGATGATGCGACAGGCGATGGCTCCGATGGGGCTGACTCGCGCAGGCAGGCTCCAGGCGAATCCTCAAGATGCGTACCTGGCAGTGGACTTCTCGGACACCAGTGGTGGCGCGTGCAATGGATCATACATGTACGATTACCTCGACGCGCAGACGGAGGCAGGAGACGGCTCCGACAGCTGGTCCACGCTCGGGCTGTCTTCGTGGAAGACCTCCTTCGTCGGCGAGCAGCTGGGCCTGCCCCGCCTCGGCGGCGCGGCCCCCCCGGAGCCGCCGGAGGAACCGCCGGAGACCCGCCTCAGCAGCAAGAGCGCCGTGGATGACCCGGCTGCAGGGCAGCCGCTGGGCTCGCCGGTGGAGCAGGCACGCGAGAACGACCAGGGCCAGGGCGTCTGCAGCGAGGTCGCGAAGGAGGACCTCAGCAAGGTCTTCCGCGAGCCTCCAGGGCTGGTGAGGCCCGAAGGTCTCGCGACTCGCGGCTCGCAGGCGCACGGGACAGGCATGTGCTCGCCGTGCGCCTGGATCTTCAAGCCGCAGGGATGTCAGCGTGGCGTCTCTTGCGGATATTGTCACCTTTGCCCAGAAGGCGAGCTGAAGCACCGCCGCAGGCTGAAGGCGGCCGCCATCCGCCAGGGCGAGCCCTGGCAGACCGAGGGCCCAGTGCCGCTCCCGTGGGAGGAGGACCGCCTGGGGCGGCACCCGACGAAGGACAGCGCCGGGACGTGGGCGGGCTCCGTGCGGGAGCCCGGCGACCGCCCGGGGCGGAGCCCGGCGAAGGACAGCGCCGGGACGTGGGCGGGCGCCGTGCGGGAGCCTGGCGAAGGAGAAGCCAGGCGCGGCGAAGCGCCTGGGCAGCCGCTGATGACCCGCGACATGGCTGAGCAGATGGACCCGCGTCTGGGTCAGGCGTCGCAGGGCTCGGTGCATCACTGGAGCGGTATGTGCAACCCCTGTGCGTGGTTTTGGAAGAAGCAGGGGTGCGAGAGTGGCATCCACTGCGTCCGCTGCCACTTGTGCCTAGACGGCGAGGTGAAGTTGCGGAAGAAGGCGAAGCTTGCTACCATGCGCGCCAGCAGAGCAGCGGGCAAGGTCGAGGGAACGACAGAGACATTGTCGGTGCCGGTGCGGCCGACGAAGATGCGGGAGCCGCCGATCCAGGAGACCCCGCCGCTGGTGCCCCCCGGGGCCTGGCAGGAACCCGTCTCGGCGTTCAACAGCGCGCCCGCCGAGCCGCAGGCATCGAAGCTCGCCCGGACCCTGGTCTCCACCTGGATCGTGCTGGGCGAGGGGCGCGTGTACCGCTTCTAGGGCACACCTTGCGGGGAGCACTCTCGTGCTGAGCAGCCCGAGCAGGGCTTGCTGCTTCCTGGTACGCGCGGCGTCATGCGTGTCCACCATGATCTCCGAGCCGTGGAGCTCGTGGCTCGCGAGCCACCTCGCGCGAGAGAACTTCGCCCCGCCGGTGAGGTAAGCGCACCGGCGGGCCGCTGGCGAGCACGGCACACCCGTCAGCTAATACAGGGTTCTGAAGAATTGTTAGTGTCTGCGCTCCACTGCCGACCGTGTTCACTCTTCCACCTCGGCGGCGCCTTGCCGCCAGGGTGCGGCCGCCCAGTCGCCATCGGGCCGACCAATCTTATCCAGGGTCGGGAGGGGGGGGTTGGACGAGAGACGAGGGGGGGGTGGGGATGAGGTAGCGGCCCTCACGCGCGTGTCCGGCTCCGCCGATCCAAGAGTCTTGCGGCACCTACGCCACTGGGTGCTAGTGCTAGTGCTTCCTCTCGTTTGAACCTCGGCATTTTTCATCTAGCGCTTTGAGTTTCTTGTGCAGGTCGCGCGGATCTAGGGCCGTGGACAGTGCCACGCTTTCTGCAACCGTGCCTGGGCATGAATCTGTGTATGCCGCACGGAACTCTAGGTCGTTGCAGCTTCTTCCCGCGCCAGGAGTAGATGCAAAACCAGCCGCATCTACTCCAATGAGGAAGGAAAAACATGATTGAGCGCACGGGACGGCTTTCAGTGCAGCTCTGTGAGTAGATCAGTGCAGCTCCTTCCTCTTCGCTTGAAGGGGTGCTTGCTACATGTGTATTATGTCCAGGTGTTGGCGGGCGAGGGGAAAATTGGAGGGGGATGGGGGGGAGGGGCGTACGTTTCACCCAATATTTCGGCAGATGGTTTCAGAGTTCCCGCGCTGCGGTTGGTCTTCCTGTTTCGTTGCGACGCAGACGGCTGATGCTCGCGGCGCGGTCTTCGTGGCGTGTTCGGCACCACGCGCAATCGAGGCGGAGTTTGCCACAGATCACGTCTGATGCGGTGGCGGCGAAAAAAACAACAAAAAACAAAAATTATCCCGGCAAAGCAACCTAACAGCGATGTGTAGAAGCATATCTGAAAGCATTCCCCTTAAGATTCAGATGAAAATCCAGTTGTCGAATTCTGCTGTTCTCGCAGTCGTAGTCGCATTCGCGATGACAGTCGCAGCGGCAACGGCAGTCGCAGTCACAGCCTCAGCCTCAGCCTGCCTCAGCCTCAGCCTCAGCCTGCCTCAGCCTCAGCCTGCCTCAGCCTCAGCCTCAGCCTGCTTCAGCCTCAGCCTCAGTCTGCCTTCAGCCTCGGCCTCAGCCTCAGCCTGCCTCAGCCTCAGCCTGCATCAGCCTCAGCCTCAGCCTCAGCCTGCCTCAGCATCAGCCTGCTCAGCCTCAGCCTCAGCCTGCCTCAGCCTCAGCCTCAGCCTGCTTCAGCCTCAGCCTCAGTCTGCCTTCAGCCTCGGCCTCAGCCTCAGCCTGCCTCAGCCTCAGCCTGCCTCGCCGCAGCATCAGCCTGCCTCAGCATTCAAAATGTGGCCCAGGAATGGAGTTCTGGGAACTCGAAGAACACGAAGTGGCCTACAGTTGGCTCCGGGCATTCAAAATCATGCCCAGGAATGGAGTTCTGGGAACTCGAAGACCACGAAGTGGCCTACAGTTGGCTCCGGGCATCCAAAATGTGGCCCGGGAATGGAGTTCTGGGAACTCGAAGACCACGAAGTGGCCTACAGTTGGCTCCGGGCATCCAAAATGTACGCCGGGAATGGAGTTCTGGGAACTCGAAGACCACGAAGTGGCCTACAGTTGGCTCCGGGCATCCAAAATGTACGCCGGGGATGGAGTTCTAGCAGCGCCAAGAGCGATTTTGCGAGGATGTCCCAAGCGATTTGGGCTTCGGCGGCAGCCGCCCCGGGTCCCGCCCCGACCCCCCTGTGGAGTCATCTGCTGCTCTCTTTTGAGACCACTAGAAACCTATCAGCAAAAGCTGTTAGGTAATTATCCCGGCAAAGCAACCTAACAGCGATGTGTAGAAGCATATCTGAAAGCATTCCCCTTAAGATTCAGATGAAAATCCAGTTGTAGAATTCTGCTGTTCTCGCAGTCGTAGTCGCATTCGCGATGACAGTCGCAGCGGCAACGGCAGTCGCAGTCACAGCCTCAGCCTCAGCCTGCCTCAGCCTCAGCCTCAGCCTGCCTCAGCCTCAGCCTGCCTCAGCCTCAGCCTCAGCCTGCTTCAGCCTCAGCCTCAGTCTGCCTTCAGCCTCGGCCTCAGCCTCAGCCTGCCTCAGCCTCAGCCTGCATCAGCCTCAGCCTCAGCCTCAGCCTGCCTCAGCATCAGCCTGCTTCAGCCTCAGCCTCAGCCTGCCTCAGCCTCAGCCTCAGTCTGCTTCAGCCTCAGCCTCAGTCTGCCTTCAGCCTCGGCCTCAGCCTCAGCCTGCCTCAGCCTCAGCCTGCCTCGGCCGCAGCATCAGCCTGCCTCAGCATTCAAAATGTGGCCCAGGAATGGAGTTCTGGGAACTAGAAGAACACGAAGTGGCCTACAGTTGGCTCCGGGCATTCAAAATCATGCCCAGGAATGGAGTTCTGGGAACTTGAAGAGCACGAAGTGGCCTACAGTTGGCTCCGGGCATCCAAAATGTGGCCCGGGAATGGAGTTCTGGGAAATCGAAGAGCACGAAGTGGCCTACAGTTGGCTCCGGGCATCCAAAATGTGGCCCGGGAATGGAGTTCTGGGAAGTCGAAGAGCACGAAGTGGCCTACAGTTGGCTCCGGGCATCCAAAATGTGGCCCGGGAATGGAGTTCTGGGAGCACCAAGAGCGATTTTGCGAGGATGTCCCAAGCGATTTCGGCTTCGGCGGCAGCCTGTCCGGGTCCCGCCCAGACCCCCCTGAGGAGTCATGATGCTCTCTTTTGAGACCACTAGAAACCTATCAGCAATAGTTGTTAGGTAAAATTTATCCCGGCAGAGCAACCTAACAGCGATGTGTAGAAGCATATATGAAAGCATTCCCCTTAAGATTCAGATGAAAATCCAGTTGTCGAATTCTGCTGTTCTCGCAGTCGTAGTCACATTCGCGATGACAGTCGCAGCGGCAACGGCAGTCGCAGTCACAGCCTCAGCCTCAGCCTGCCTCAGCCTCAGCCTCAGCCTGCCTCAGCCTCAGCCTGCCTCAGCCTCAGCCTCAGCCTGCTTCAGCCTCAGCCTCAGTCTGCCTTCAGCCTCGGCCTCAGCCTCAGCCTGCCTCAGCCTCAGCCTGCATCAGCCTCAGCCTCAGCCTCAGCCTGCCTCAGCATCAGCCTGCCTCAGCCTCAGCCTCAGCCTGCCTCAGCCTCAGCCTCAGTCTGCTTCAGCCTCAGCCTCAGTCTGCCTTCAGCCTCGGCCTCAGCCTCAGCCTGCCTCAGCCTCAGCCTGCCTCGGCCGCAGCATCAGCCTGCCTCAGCATTCAAAATGTGGCCCAGGAATGGAGTTCTGGGAACTAGAAGAACACGAAGTGGCCTACAGTTGGCTCCGGGCATTCAAAATCATGCCCAGGAATGGAGTTCTGGGAACTTGAAGAGCACGAAGTGGCCTACAGTTGGCTCCAGGCATACAAAATGTGGCCCGGGAATGGAGTTCTGGGGAATCGAAGAGCACGAAGTGGCCTACAGTTGGCTCCGGGCATTCAAAATGTGGCCCGGGAATGGAGTTCTGGGGAATCGAAAAGCACGAAGTGGCCTACAGTGGGCTCCGGGCATTCAAAATGTGGCCTGGGAATGGAGTTCTGGGGACGTGAAGAGCACGAAGTGGCCTACAGTTGGCTCCGGGCATTCAAAATGTGCCCCGGGAATGGAGTTCTGGGAAGTCGAAGAGCACGAAGTGGCCTACAGTTGGCTCCAGGCATACAAAATGTGGCCCGGGAATGGAGTTCTGGGAGGTCGAAGAGCACGAAGTGTGTGTGACTGTTGGCTTAAAACGATTTCTGCGGCACCCTGTCCGGCACCCGCCCAGACCCCCTTGTGGAGTGATTTGTGAGCTCTTTTGAGTCAACTAGACACCTATCAGCAATAGTTGTTAGGTAAAAATAGTCCAACAACAGTCAGGAGCGGCGATGTTTAACTATTTTGGGCTCGTTGGGCATATGTTTTGACTATCTCTAATTTTTCGTCCAATATCCACCTGTAGGGGGGCATGCCCGACCTAAAACCGGTGCGGTTGGACCCCGGGAGGGGTCCGGAGACAGATTTTGAACTGCCAATGTCTCTTTCACCCTGCTCCGACCAAGAGCCCACCCCACCCAGCAGCGTGCGCTTTCGCTGTCGGCTGCCCATTGCCGATCTCTCGGCGATGCATCGCCGATTCCAGCCCGATGTTTTCCCCCCTGAGCCGGCCCCCTCCTGTCGTTGTCCCTCGACCTCTCGGAGGTCCGCGCGGATTGCTCGGGTCGGCGCTGGTGGCCTCCTGGCGGCGCCGGCAGCGCAGCGCCGATCCAAGAGATCCGCGCGGACCTCCAGCATGACGTTCTGTTGTTGGTCTATTGCATGTCGGGGAAACGTCAGACTCGAGTCTGCAGGAAGTCGGGTTTGCCGATGCTTTCTACGGCTCCATTCTGGTTTTTGACGGTCTAGTTCTCGCGGGATGCTTGCAGCAGGCGCTCACGCCAAATTTCAAGCCCGGTCTCGTCATTTTCCTGACGGCCCCGTCAGGCCAAACCGAGCCCCCCGAAGTTGAGTCTTACGTCTCCCCGAGAATGCTTCGGCCTGGATCCAGTCAAGACGACGAGCGCGCAAATCATATCTTCATCGGGCGATCTGCGCTATCGGGAACCCACGGTCGATCAAGGCCGGACGATCCGCGCGGGGTGCGAAGCCAGCGCCCAGGCCGGCAAGGCACGAACCCGCCAAACTCGGAGCGTGAAATACCTACCCCGCTTTCGCTTCCAGGAAAAACCAAGTCATACCACGCGCCTCCTCGTCAAGCGGCCTGACCAATACAGGCCGTAGTTTGGCATCGTTTGGTATCTCTTGGAAGCGAGGGTGGTCAAAAGCGAGGTAGGTTTGTTTTCCCCTTACAAACGCAGGCTTGGAACATCGTGTTGTCGAGACCCTGAAGCACGGACCAGTTCGGGCTCGGAAGGGGCGTGGCGGGCGTTTTCTGGCCACACCGCTCGGGAAACGTTGTACTGCAATATTGGTATACTATAGGTTCGGGTCGGACGCGCGCCCCACATGAGGGCATATCTAGTACTAGTATGTCTCTGTGTGTCCCATCCTCTGGCGATCCTTGTGCACGCAGGCTCTTCTGGGGCCAGCGGCGCCAGCGGCGCCAGCAGCAGGCGGTCCAGGAGCAGCAGGAGCCTGCCGAGCGTCGAGAGCCTCTTGCTGCAGCTTCTGGAGGACCGCCGAAGCCTCCTCGCCAGCCGCAGACTCTGTGACAGGTAGGTCCAAGGCCGCCGATTTTGCGTGCAGCGGGTCCCCAATCTCGCTGGCTTGGGCCTTGCAGAGGAGCTCCTCTGCAGCTGCGAGCTCCGTCTTGGCCGAGTCGATGCTGGCCTCGAATTTCACGATCTCCACCTCGAGCTCGATCTTCTGCGGCCGAAGGGCCACCGCGCGGCCCTCCAGTTTGCCGACCTTCGCGCGCAGGTTGCCCGCCTTGAACCGCGTCGCGCGAGCGTTGGCGGCTTGGTCTCCCTAGCCTTCTTCTCCGCCGCCTCGACTGCGACGGTGGCGGTCTGGTCCCCCCCCCGTGGGCCTCGAGGAACCCCGCGCCCGCCTTCGCAGGGGGGCCGAGCCGTGCTCCGTGGGGGGCAGCTTGCACCGGCCGCCCCGGCAGAGCCCGCGGCGCTGGCCGCGCGCTTGAGCGTGGCAGCTGCAGGTCCTTCGTGGCCTTGGTGAGCGCATCGCTGGAACCCGAGCCTCCTCCTCCTCCTCCTCCTCCTCCTCCTCCTCCTCCTCCCTCCTCCTCCTCCTCCCCCTCCTCCCCCTCCTCCTCCTCTCCTCCTCCTCCTCCTCCTCCTCCTCCTCCTCCTCCTCCTCCTCCTCCTCCTCCTCCTCCTCCTCCTCCTCCTCCTCCCCCTCCCCCTCCTCCTCCTCCCCTCGTGGCTGGCTCCTGCCCCGCGCGGCGCCCCGCTGCGCACCTGCGCTGCCGCCCTCCTCGCCGCTACCACCCTCCCTGCCGGAGCCGCTGCTCCGCAGCCACGGCAGGCGAGGCGCGACGCCGCGGATTGTCGGCGACCCCGCGGCAGCAGCCGCGGCGGCACGCCCCGCAGGGGCGTTCCCCACCAGCCAAACCACCCCAACCCATCCCGAAGGTCTCAATTTGCCCTCCATTTCCAGTGGGGGGGGGGTCGGAGAACATTGAGAACACACACATGGAAGCCGTACCCCCCCGAACCCGAAATTCGGGTCTTCGGGTTGGGTTGGGGTGGTCTGGTAGGTACTCAGGCGTGCGCGAGCCCGCCAGGACCTCGCGCGGCTGCGGCGCCATCCACGGCGGGAGCGAACCGCGGCGGAAGACCGGGCCTCTCGGGCCCGAGCGTGCGAAGCGATTGGCCCGCACGCGAGAGCCGCCTGCAAGCTCAGCGCCAAGGCCTGAGCCAGAACGGCTCGCTTGAGCCCAGATTGCTACGCTTAGGTCGGGCATGTCCCCCGACAGGCGGATCTGGGACGAAAGATCATGGATACCCAACAGTAGGCAAACAATATGCAAAACATCGTCCCAAGACGAACAACCATCAGAGCGTGAATTACTTACCCCGCTTTCGCTTCCAGGCAAAACCAAGCCATACCACGCGCCTCCCCGTCAAGCGGCCTGACCAGTACAGGCCGTAGTTTGGCATCGCTTGGTATCTCTTGGAAGCGAGGGTGGTCAAAAGCGAGGTAGGTTTGTTTTCCAGGCCTGTAGGGGGACACGCCCGACCTAAGCATAGGGCGGGATGCATCGACCCCCAATCGCCCATTGGTCGCCGATAGGGACCCGATGGCCCAGACCTGCACTGGAAGGTGCGGATTCACTGTCGGTGGCCTGTCGCCGATCTATCGGCGGTTAGTTTCCCCCCTAAACCAACAGTACCCAAACGATTTCCAAAACAATAGGCAAACAATATGCAAACATCGGGGGCAACGGCAGAGGGCATGGGCTCAGGGGGGACGCGCCGACCCCCCCTAAAATCGCCGCTGCATCGCCCATGAGGGGCCCGCCAGCCCGCCCTCTCCCAGGAACGAGCGGGCTCTCCTCCTCCTCCTCCTCCTCCTCCTCCTCCTCCTCCTCCTCCTCCGCCCCCTCCTCCCCCTCCTCCTCCCCCTCCTCCCCCTCCTCGGACCTTCTCCTCCCCCTCGGTTCGCTATCGGGGGCTCATCGCCAGGTCGATGTCTCCCCCCCTTCCCCCCCGAACCAGTCCCCTCTGGCGTTGCCCCTCAGCCGTGTCGACGCGGCGGCAAATCCCAGCGCGGGCGCAAGGCGTGCATACTTTGGTGTCATCGGTCCTGCCCAGTTCCCCGCCCGACAGGTCGGATGCTGCCAGACTTGAGGAAGGGGGCGCCGTGCGCACTGCGGCCACCAGGCCCAGAGCGTGCCTGCGCCCGTGCTCTTCGGGATCCCGGTGTCCCCTGCGATCCGGGCATCCAGTACTGCACTCTGCGGCGCCAGGCCCAGAGTGCGGGTGTCGCATCCCCGTCCCCGTCCCCATCTCGAGCCCCGCCGTCTCACCGCTTCAGTTGTGGATGTGCCCCTCGAAGCCCGAAGAGAGCAGCCTGTCTCCCCAGCCAGGGGGGCAAATCGGCCACCGGGTCCCAGCCCATGCCGGTGGGGATGGGGCTCGGTAAAACGATGCTCAGGGTGCTCCCTTAGGATCCCGCCTCGGGTTCTCGGGTGGGGATCGCTCGAAGCAATGTCATTGTCAGTCCGAGCATTTTACTGTGTTTCAGCTGTCCGTAGCCATTGTTGGGTCCTGGGGCAGCCAGAAATAGGTGTTGGGTCGCAAAGCTACGCCCCAGACGGGGTCGGGATCTCCTGCGGGGCGCGGAATGAAAAAGGCCGATCGTCAGATGGCTGGGTACGTCCGAAGCCGCCGACGACGCAAGGGCAACAACGAGAGGGAGGGAGAGGCTCAGGGGTGGGACACCAATCGCCCCGAACCGCCGAACCGGCCAGTTATAGCCAATAGCGGCCTGGGCCCCTCCCGAGACCGGCGCTGCGAAAACGCTACAACATGGGGAAAATTCACCACGAGAGACCTAGAGCCCGTCTTTCGCTTGCAGTATTCGAGCCGGATCGATCTGTAATGGCCTTGGGGCCCGACTCCCAGCAACATTTGCAATGCCAGGGTCTCAGGGCCCTTTTTCCCAGCCCAGAATCGCGTGTTGGTGTCATCATCGCCAGAAGAGAAGTGGTACGGCGATGATGAAAGGTCTGGGTTGCCCCGACCGCCTATTGGACCCATCAGGGGCAACGATAGGGGAGGGGGGCTAGGCATAGGGGGAGAGATACTTCCGCCCCCAATCGCCTGGGCCCGATAGCCCCCACCTGCCCAGGAACGTGCAGATTCACTAAGTGGGGCCTGCCGCCAATCTATCGGCGATGTGTAGCCGATTCCAGATCGATGTGTCCCCCCCCTGCCAGTTCCCCCCCTGTCGTTGCCCTTCAACCCACGTCGGTGTTTCTGCGATTTCGTGGGCCGTTTTCGTTTCGATGCCGTTTTGCAGCGAAGGCGAATTCAAGACAAAACGATGGAAAACGAAAACAATACGATAACGACAACCACCGTTGAGGCCCAGCCCTGCCACGTCGCCGCCGACTAAGAGCATAGATCCTCGCTTGGCCACGCGAACCCCAGGCCGAGGCTGGCGTGGCCGCCCCCGCGGCGCTGGCCCCCGTGCGCGGCGCGGCCCGGCCCGCGGCGGGCGCGGCGGCGGGCGCGGCGGCGGCGCTGGCCCTGCAGGGCGTGGTGTTCTGCATGACCGGCGAGCTGGAGGGGATGGGCCGCAGGGACGCAGAGGATCGGGGCAGAGCGAGCTGCATCGGGCGCAGGGCTGGACCCAAACGGTGTTTTTGGTGGTTTCGTGGGCCGTTTTCGTTTCGACTTCGTTTTGCGGTGAAGGCGGATCCGAGACCAAAGCTCGGGACAACGAAGACAAAACGAACACGAAAAGCACCGTTTAGGCTCAGGGACGCAGAGGGTCGGGGCAGAGTGCAGCCAAGACGCTGAGATAAGGAGCAGCTTGCTTTCGGGAGGGGCTCGATGTTCCTTGCGTCCTTCCGCGGTTGTTCCTCTAGCCCTTCTCGTACACCCAGGCTTGTTTGAAGCCACAGAGGGGCTTCGTTCCTTATTTGGCGTTCCTTCTCTCAGCGGCCCGACTGTAAGCTGCATCAGACGTTCATCGGCCACGCGGCCGGGACACGTTCGGGCCATGTCATGCGTCGCGCTTTGTTTCCGTCATCTTGCCTCATTCTCCCAAGATTGCGCTGGGCGGGGGGGGGGACAAACCAGCTTCATGCACATACGTAGAACCCCGCAACTGCGGATAAGAGTGAGGGGGCGGGCGTCTCCACCTCCACCTGGGAGGAATTCAAAAACAGCCCGCCGCAGGCGCCGAACATTTTGATTTGTACTCTGAACGCGGTTTGGGTCGCGGGTGGGTCGCAGTTTCTCCACCTGGAATGAATGCAAAAGAAACCCGCCGCAGGCGCCACAAATTTTCGGTGGGTCGCGGGGTGGGTCGCGGGTGGGTTGCGGGTGGGTCGCGGCGCGGTTTGGGTCGCGGGTGGGTCGCAGGTTTTCTACCTGGAACGGATTCAAAAGAAATGCCGCAGGCGCCGAAATTTTTGGGGGGTCGCGGGGTGGGTCGCGGTGGGTCGCAGTGGTCGCGTGGGTCGCGGGGTGGTCGCGGTGGGTCGCGGGTGGGGTCGCGGTGGGTCCGCGGGTTGGGTCGCGGGGTGGGTCGCGCGGGTGGGTCGCGTCGCGGGTGGGTCGCGGGTGGGTCGCGGGTGGGTCGCAGGTGGGTCGCCGGTGGGTCGCGGGTGGGTCGCGGGGTGGGTCGCGGGGTGGGTCGCCGGTGGATCGCGGGGTGGATCGCGGGCTGGTCGCGGGGCGGGTCGCGGGTGGGACGACGACAACAAACAACAAACAACAACCAACAACAACAACAACAACAACAACAGCAACAACAACACCAACAAGAAACCGCACCGCGGAATTCCATTTTAGCCACGCACCTAGGGACAATGAATGACCGTTCGGTTCAGTTCCCTCACTCTGATATATATATATATATATATATATATCACAACATATATATATACACATACACATACATATACCAGTCAATATATGTAGCACCCCGCATTTGCGGAAAAGAGCGGGGGGGTGGGCGCGAAGTGGGTCGCGTGTGGGTCGCGGGGTGGGTCGCAGGGTGGGTCGCGAGTGGGTCGCGGGTAGATCGCGGGTGGGTCGTGGGGTTGGCCGCGGGTGGGTCGCTGATGGGTCGCGGGCGAAGCCGACGACAACAACAAACAAGTTCACAAGCAACAGAAGAACACAAGCCAGAATCGGGGCCACGGAATCCCAACTCAGCCACGCACCCAGGGACAATGGATGACCGTTCGGCACCCTCTATGTGATGTAATCATTTTGCTTCGGCTGCTTGGCTTGCCGCTGAGTTTTCCCTACCTGCTTCTAGGACTTGCAGCGCGCGTGTGTCGTTGTGCTTGGTTGTCAGTGGGTCGCGCGATGTGGATAGCGCTCATGAGGGGCAGCGGATTGCTCGATCTACCTCTTTTGTTGGGTTTCGTGGAAACTATTGCTTCGAGCGATCCCCACCCGGTTACCCGAGGCGGGATCCCCGGGGAGCACCAGGCCCCTTTGGGCATGGCCGCTGCAGTGTGCAGTCGTCAATGCGAGCCGGGATGGCCAGGGAGCACCCGGCCCCTTGGGGCTTGGCGTGTCGGGAGATCTCGTGGCTACGACCAACAGCCTCAATTTGTTGAGTGGGGAATTTGCCTGAGGTCCGCGTGGCTTTCTTGGATCGGAGCTGAGCCCCCCTCGCGGCGCCTCCGGCGACGCCCCTCGCGCGCCAGTGAGGCAGGTGCAGCGCCGATCCAAGAAAGCCGTTTGGACCTCCCACATTTTGGTTTTTAAGTATTTGTGGTGTTCTTTGTGTCGGGGGTGGACAGAACCCTCAATAGTGACACGTCGATTAGTGAATTGTCCGTTTTCGGTTTTCGAGAGGGCGCCGTGGCCGTTATTTTCCAGGCTTGCGCCCGCCAGGTTTGGGCCCGAAGTCGTTTTCACTAAACCACGTTTTACTAAAGGGAGGTCTGTCCATCCCCGAGTGGAGGAGCAGATCAAGGCAGCGGGCGGCAAAGTGGGTGCCTCCGTGTCTCCCAGCACGACCTATCTGGTCGTTGGCGCTCGGCTGGAGGGCGGCAGACCCGTCGAGGAGGCGGCCAAGTATCGAAGGCACTCGGAGCTGAAGGGCAAGGGCGGTTTTTTGAAGGCAGATCTGCCTTCAAAAAATTGTTTTTTGAAGGCAGATCTGCCTTCAAAAAACCGTTCTTGAAGGCAGATCTGCCTTCAAAACACCGTTCGTATCGGAGGTACTTGGAGCTGAAGAGCAAGGGCAGGAAGCACCCCGAGCTGCTGAGCGAAACTGCGTTCCTGGCGATGCTGCCCGCAGCTGCCGCTCACTCGGCTGCAGCACGGTCGACGGCGTCTGCTCCCACTATCTGAGAGGCTGCGCACCCTGCCGTCGGCCTCCCAATCTGAGCTTGCCCGCGGCTATATTAGGACAGCGTGACTGTGAGAGCTTTCTTGAGCCATCTCGAGACCCAGACACCCTCGGGTCATGAACAAATCACCACGGGAGCTTTTTAGCACTTGTCGGCCTCCTGGGGCCCTCGCCGAGCCCCTGGACCGTCACATAACGACTCAGGATGAAAAGCCGGTCCCGGGGAACGGGTCCATGCCATTGGGGTCCCTTTCATGACAAAGCAGATAGGTCGCGGGTCTGGGGAGCTGTCGGAGGCATCTATGTGCCTCTGGGCCTGCCGTCGGGCCACGTTGGGCAGCACTTGGCCTGGATTTGGGGCACCTTGTCACCTTGTGGCCTTTATTCCAATTCCGCCGACCCCCAGAGGAGCAACGACGTCCACGGGTGGGGCCTGTTGCCTCTTGGGAACCGTTTGAGGGGCCTACAGGCGTATCTTTGGGGGCTTTTGGGTGCCTCTTGGAGCCTCTTGGGGTTCTGTTGAGCGCCTGCTGGCGTCGGGGGTCCTCTTGGGGCGGAGGGCTCGAAATGTCAGTTCGAGTTCTCCCTCTTGGACCGCCCTTGAGACTCTTTGGGGGCCCGCTTGGGCCGTCTTGGGCGCCGCTTGGGCCGTGCTGGGGCTCTCTTGGCCCGTGCTGGGGCCCTCTTAAGGACCTCTTGGGCCGTCCTGGAGCGATCTTTGGGGCCTCTTGGGCCGCTTTGGACGCTGTTGAAATCAGAAGGGCTAGTGTGCTAAAAGTTACAGTTCTCCCTCGAACTGTTGGCGATGTTGGCTTCGTGTGGCCCTCGTGAGGGTCCTCTTGGAAGTGACAGTGGTCGTCTTGGAGGTCGCTTGGGTCGTCTTGAGGCTATCTAGGTAGTTTTTGTGGCGGCCTCCTTGGCGTGTTGGAGCCCAGCTTGAGCCAGCTTGGATGGAATCCTGGGCATCCTGGAGACCACGAAGTGCAGAAATGGAGGCTCCAGAGCTCCTGGGGGGCGTTCGGGGCACTGGAGGGCTCCCCCACCCCTTCCCCCCTCCCTTCTTTTTGGATTGCAGACGCCAGGGGAGGGGGAAATGGTGAGGGATGCAGCCAACTATCTCACACGCCTTTGCACCCCGGCAAGCGGGGGTCGGCAGGGCCAGCCTGGGCGACTTGGGTGCCATCTTGGAAACTTTTTCGGTGCCACCCAGGGGCCGCATTGGGTGATATCGTGGGATCCGGTGTCCGTCGTGGAGCGATCCTGGCACGCCTTAGGGTAGAAAACATGGGACACGCCCAACACATTGAAGGCATTATAGTACTCCCTTTTGTTTTGGTCTCTCGTGGGCGTCTTGGTCTCCCTCTGGCCGTCGTGGTCTCATGGGGCCCTCTTCGGGGCCTCTTGGGCCGTCCTGGAGGCCTCTTGGGGCCGCCCGGTGGTGTCCCTGCGGTAGCTCTGGGGCATCACCAGGCTCGGGAATCTTCCCCCCCACGCCACACAGAAGCCCGAACAACATCCGAATGATAACCGCGTGCTTCGGCGCCCCAGCCACGTACATGATGCTGCGCCCCAAACCACCCTTCCATTGAAGTCGAACTAAAGAGCCCCGCGCGACGGCAGCCCCTTGGGTCAACCACCCTCTGTAGTCTGATCTACGTTTAGGTGAGTGGGTTGAGCCAGGGTCTGGGGCGTTTGCCTGGTTTGGCCCCCCGTTTCGCCTGGTCTGGAGTTTGTTGGCCTCGTTTGGCAGGGGGCCCCGTCTGAGACATCCTCGTATGGGCCCTTGTATGGCATGGTGTGGGGCCTGTTTCGCTTGAGACGTCTTCGCAATTTACATGGTTTGCCGTGATTTCGGTGCGTTTTCGCTTGAGACGTCCTCGCAAGTTGCCTCCTTTGTTATGAAGTCGTCGCGGCTCTGCTTGAGACGTCTTCCCAATGTGCCTCGCTTGCCTTGGTTCGGCGCGGTTACGCTTGAGACGTCCTCGCAATTTGCCAGATCGCGGTTTCGGTCGAGACCTCGCACTTTGCCTGGCTTGGGCGCTCTTTCGCCCAGTACGTCCTAACGAATTCCGTGGTTCAGCGTTGTTTGAGCAGGTATTCGCTTGACGTTTCCTCATGACTTGCGTGGTTTGAAAGAGCGTGTTCTACCGCTGCTGGCGGAAAACCGGGGGGGGTCACTACCGGTTCGAACCCCTCCCCCCCCCCCCCCCCTCTTGTTTGAGCAGGTATTCGCTTGACGTTTCCTCATGACTTGCGTGGTTTGAAAGAGCGTGTTCTACCGCTGCTGGCGGAAAACCGGGGGGGGTCACTACCGGTTCGAACCCCTCCCCCCCCCCCCCCCCTCTGGAAAGCCTGGGGGGGAGTCATACCGGTTCGAACCCTCCCCCCCCCCCCCTCCTGCTCATCATGAAATAGGGGGGGGGGGGGTCACATACCGGTTCGAACCCCTCCCCCCCCCCACCCCCCCCTCGAAAACCGAGTGGGGGTGCGGACAGTGGTGGGGACGGTGTTGGTGGGGACAGTGGTGAGGGGACAGCGGGACAGTGGTGGGGACAGCGGGGGGACAGTGGGACAGTGGTGGGGACGGTAGTGGTGGGGACAGTGGTGAGGGGATAGCGGGACAGTGGTGGGGACAGTGGGACAGTGGGACAGCGGTGGGGACGGTAGTGGTGGGGACAGTGGTGGGGACAATGGTGGGAACAGGGGGGGGCAGTGGACAGTGGTGGTGACGGTGGTGGTGGGGACAGTGGTGTGGGGACAATGGGAATGAGGTGGAAACAGTGGGACAGTGGAGGGTACAATGGTGGTTGGGACAGTGGTGAAGGCGGTGGCGAGGACGGCGGTGGGACAATGGGACAAAGGTACAGTGGGGACACTGGTGGGGACAGTGGGGACAGTGGTGGGAACAGTGGGACAGCTCAGTGGGACAGCGGAGGAGTCAGTGGGACAGTGGGGACTGTGGGGATAGTCGGGCAGTGGTTGGGGCCGTGGAGACAGTGGGGAGAGTGGAACCGTGGTGGGAACAGTTCTGGGGACAGCGGGGACAGTGCGACAGTGGTGGGGCCACTGGTGGGGACAGTAGGGGCGGTTGTGGAACCAGTGGGGACAGCGGTGGTGAGGACAGTGGTGCTGGGAACACCAGTGGGGGATGTGATGCGGACGGTGGTGGGGACCGGGAGTCGTTTGCTGGCGGTGAGTGGGTTCGAACCGGTAGTGACCCCCCCCGGTTTTCGAGCTCGAGGAGGGGGGGGGGGTTAGGGGAGGGGGGGGGTTTTGCCGGGGGAAGGGGTGGGGGGGGGGGAGGGGTTCCAGCAGGGGGGGGGGATTTTCGGAGGGGGGGGGGGGCGACCCCCGGGTTCCGGAGGAAAAGGTTGGCAATTTTCCACAGTAAAGCGGCGGAGGAATCACGCTCTCTCCCGTGGTTTGGGTTTATTTCTTCTTCGATTTTTTTTGTTTTTTTTCTTTGTTTTTTTTTTTTTGTTGTTTTTTTTATTGTTTTTTTTATTTATTTTTTTTTTTGTTTTTACATGATGTTGGTGTTGGGCGCGGTTTCGCCTGAGACGTCCTCACGATTTGCCTGGTACTCGCTGCGTGGTGCAGGCTAGGTGTTGCAAATTCACATCGCTTCGCACTCAGTGGCATGCGAGCGACGGAACACCAAAACTGGATCGTCTGCGCCGACAGTCGTCCGCCAGACCAGGGGGATCTGGGAGCCTTGGGCGCTGTGAGCGCTCTGGGCAGAAACGACTGCATTCGGACCGCTGAAGAAGGAACCCTTTTCATTGGGCGTGGGCTCAGTGTTCCTTAGTTGTTTTGGCAGTTTGTTTCAGGTTTCCTTTAGGCTTTGGATGGACATCGAAGTTGAACTTCTGGGAAATCGGGGCCTCGTTCCTTACTTCTGGGGTTCCTTCTGACAGCGGCCCGACTGTACGGAGGCATGCGCCCCCCCAGGGGGGGCCCAGCGGACTCTGGGGACCTCGAAGCCGGCCGCGGGCTTCTCGAGCACCCCCCGGGCTACGGAGTCGGCAGGCGCCCGATGCTCGGAGGAGGGCCGGAGGTCGAGCAGCGGCGAAGCGTCCCGGCCCGCCCACAGGCCCACCAACGAATGTTCCAAGATTTTGATGTTGCAACCTTCTTTATCCATGACCACCAGACAGAAGTTCGAGCGCTAGAACAGTACTCAAAAACTCGAGGGTTTTCACGTGTCGGGTCCTGGGGGACACTCGTCCGACACTGTTTCGACACTCTTTCGACACTTTTCTGGGTGCTCGAAATTATTTCTGGGGTGTGGTCCTTAAGTACAAAGGGAGCAACATAATTCTGAGAACCTTTGCGGTCTGCACGAAGTGCTCTGAGAACAGTTCTGGCTGGGAGGGTCCTGTTTCAACACGTCGGGTCTATGTTCTGAGCACGAGGTTCTTGTTCTCAGGACATCCCTGGGCTCCAGGAGCACGTCGTGGTGGGCCTACCGGAGTGCCGGGACGGGCGGCTCCTGCTCAACCGGGGAGGCCATGGCGGCTCTCTTCCGCCCGGCCCAGATCCGTTCACGGTTGGTCCTTGGAGCCCCCTCCCCCTTCGGGGCCGGACGGGGCGAGGCCGAGGATGCATCCGTTCCCCCAGGGGCCGAGGGTGAATCCGTTCCCCGCAAGTGGTCCTGGGACCCCCCCCCCGTTCAGAGGAGGAGCAGGTACCCGTACCTCGGCCCTTCCCTCGTCTTCCCCTCTGGCGGGCCTCCTGGGAGGCCCTCGTCGCCACCGCTGGATTCGCCTCGAAACCCGGGTCAGAACGCACCCCGGGAGAGGCCCGGGAAGGAGCGGTATCGTTACCTTTTGGCTTCCCCACCTCTGGGTCGGACGGGGAGAGGCCGAGGAGGAACCCGTTTCCCAGGGCGTTCCGGGACGCTCTCAGAGAGCGCTACGGAGCGCTCCGAGGAGGCCGAGGCGCCCGAGGCATCCTCCAGGGCCGCCGGCTCTCAGAGGCTCTCGATTGGTCCGCGCACGATGGTATTCTCGACCTGGCTTCGTCCTGCTGGGTTCCAACCTGTCCCGCCTGTCAAGGCGGACCCAGCCGTGGCTCGGGTATAGCCAGGACCCCAGGTAAGGGGACCTGGTTAGTGGTTAGGCCCCGGAGCCCCTACATTGGCCAGAATCGCTAAGCCAGGTCTGCCGTAGCTGGTGTTCGTTAGGGTGACGGCAGCTCCGGTTAGTGGAGCGGGGCGGGGGGGGGCCGTTCCCCCAGTACACATCAGTACACATCACTAAACCGGGTCCCACTAAACCTAGTTCTGGCAACGCCCGACAGGGGGGGCGAGGGGGCAGGGGGAATGCCATGCGAGGGAACTTGCCAGAATTCAGATGCAAGCGCGCTCCAGGAGAGAAGCCACCACCCACCAAACCACCCCAACCCAACCCGAAGGCCTCAATTTGCCCTCCATTTCCAGTTGGGGGGGGGGGTCGGGGAACATAGGAAAAACACGTATGGAACCCGTACCCCCCCCAACCCGAAATTGGGGTCTTCGGGCTGGCTTGGGGGTGGTCTGGTAGGTAGTCGAGAAGGGAAATTGCTAGCGAGGAGGGCCGCCGTTGTCTCGGCGGGCCCTCCACCGAGATGCTCTGCCGCGTGGGTGGACTCCCATGCGCCGCGCCAGCTGGGCGACCTGGTCGGGAACGCGGCGCAGGTGCGGAAGCTGGCCGAGTGGCTGCGGGACTGGGACGACGTCGTGCTCTCAGATAGACCGCCTCGGGTGCAACTCCTGGGAGGTCAAGTTCTGATGCTGCCCCGGTCCGAAGCCTGGCTGAATCCCGCTTGATCCCGCTTAATCTGGCTTACTCCCGCTGAACCCGGCTTAATCCGAGGCCCATTCCGGCGCAACAGCCCCCCAATGGGGCTTGATCCTCCCAACTCCTTCCGACGAAAACCTCCCAGTACCCAGACCCCCGACGTCATGATTTTTTCATTACGTCGACCCCCAGAGGTCCCGACCCTTTCCCCATGACCGGTTTTTCATCCTGAATCGTTTTTTGACGCTCCCGAGGCCCGGTGAGGGCCCCCGGAGGCCGAAAACTAGGAAAAACCTCCCGTCGTGATTTTTTCATTACTCGAGGGGGTCTGGGTAGTTGCCTCCTGGTATTGCATTCGATGACGTCTGGTCGGCTCGTTGTGCCGATCTCCGTGGCTGCTGCGCGTTCGGGCGCAGTCCGGGCCACGCTCTCTGGCCCCGGGGGTCGGCCCGTGGCCCACCGGCCCCGGTCCACGGCCGTTCTCGCCACGTGCTCCTTCGCGTGCTCAGCGCACGCCATCTCTTGCCCGCCTGGCCTACTCTGTAAGAACGGTTTTTTGAAGGCAGATCTGCCTTCAAAAAATGTTTTTTTGAAGGCAGATCTGCCTTCAAAAAACCGGTCTACTCTGTAAGAACTGTTTTTTGAAGGCAGGTCTACTCTGTAAGAACGGCTTTTTGAAGGCAGATCTGCCTTCAAAAAACCGTTCTTACAGAGTAGACCAGTCTTTCTTTCCTTCGCGTGCTCAGCGCACGCCATCTCTTGCCCGCCTGGCCTACTCTGTAAGAACGGTTTTTTGAAGGCAGATCTGCCTTCAAAAAATGTTTTTTTGAAGGCAGATCTGCCTTCAAAAAACCGGTCTACTCTGTAAGAACTGTTTTTTGAAGGCAGGTCTACCTTCAAAAAACCGGTCTACTCTGTAAGAACTGTTTTTTGAAGGCAGGTCTACTCTGTAAGAACGGCTTTTTGAAGGCAGATCTGCCTTCAAAAAACCGTTCTTACAGAGTAGACCAGTCTTTCTTCCTTCGCGTGCTCAGCGCACGCCATCTCTTGCCCGCCTGGCGACGCGTTTCTGGGGGGCTGTCTTCGACACGCCTGGGAGTCGAGCCGAGGGCAGCAAGGTGGGGGAGACACAGAACACATGATCGGGGGAGAAAAAGCTACGGATACGTGTTGTCCCCCTTCGTGTTCGGCCTTTCCTGGTCCTCCTGGGGAATCCTCGTTGTCACCGCTGGATTCGCTTCGAAATTCTGGACAGAACGCACCCCAAGAGAGGTCCGGGGACAACACGTATCCGTATCTTTCCGCCCCCCATCATGAGAAACCACAGTGCTAAACCCGAGCGGCCGCAGCGATGTTCAGCACGAGTGGCGTAGCGCTACGGCTTGAGCCGGAGTTGTGAGCAGCCGAGCTGCCGGACTGCCGTTTTTGGCAACCACGGTGTTCATTCCCCCTTCTAGTTCTCCTCCTCCCCTCCCTTCACCCAGCGCTTTCCACTACTCGCAAAGCGCCTCCTCGCAAACACCTGGAAAATAGCTTGTTGCCTCGACGTAATTTGTCGTGGATCCCACGCGGCGGAACCAGGCTATTTGCGAGTAGCTACTTTGCGAGTAGTGGCACGCGCTTGTCTATTCCTGCTTCTCCTACCCAAGCTTGCGCGGGGACAGAAAAAACAAGGCCTCGAGCCGTGGCGCCTGGGTCCATGTAAAAACAGGGAGGGATGGGGACGGGAGCCAACAACCGAGGTGGTGCTGCGCGGGAAGGCCAAGAAGGCGACGTTCCGGCCCGGAGCGGGGGCTCCGGACAATGTCGGCGCGCGCGCCGCGCTGGTGAGCGGGCCGCCCGGGATCGGCAAGACGACCACGGCGCGCCTGGTGGCGCAGCTGCACGGCGGCTACGACGTGTTTTGGGCCTTATCAGCCACGCACAGATCAGAGGAGGAAAGGGTATCCATAAGTACTGCTACCCTTCTCCCGTTACCCTTTTTTCGGCCTCTTGGGATGCCCTCTTCGCCACAGCTGGATGCGCCTCGAAATCTTGGTCAGAAAGCACCCCAGGGGAGGTCGTGTGAGTAGCGGTATCGGTAACACCTTGGGGTTCCCCCGTGGGGGAGGGGCGATGTTTTTTAGAGCACCTTGGCTTCTTAAAAAGCGCGGCCCTTATCATGTATGAGAGAGAGAGAGGCGCCTTCTAAGAAGCAGACTCTTTCTAGGAAACCTTCTCCCCTCCTTCCGCCCCCCGGTGCGCGCCGCCATGTCTTAGTGCTTGGATCAGCGCGATGGTTGTTTATCAATGGGACTGTGGGGTTATCTCTGCCGTCCCGATGGGATGACGACAGCGGTTTTTGCAGTCTTTGGCGGCCTGGGGGCCCTCGCCTCGGGGCATGCTGCAATCTGCCGGGTGATGCGGTCGGCTGACCGCTGACACCTTCGGGAACTTACAGGGAGCGTCGAGCTGCAGCCCAGGTGTGCGGTGTGGCATGACGTTCCATTTTCACGACGCTGGTGCATCGTGTTTTTGCGGCGCTGTCGTCGCCCCCCCCTCTTCTCCGATGCTCGCCAGTTGCTTCCCCAACGGTTTCAGCATTGCAGTGGTGCCGGCGGTCCTGCCCCCCCCCTCTTCCAGGCGAGAATCTCTGTCGATACCGGCGATTTGTTTTGAGCTTTGCAGATGTTTGTCAATGCGTTTTCGATTCGTGAATATTTTTTCCGGTGTGTTTTCCCTGCAACATTTGGCCAAATTATATACGCCATTCCGCTGGGGACGGTTTCGCGCCTCACTGGTATATATTTTGAGCGCAGTTTTTTGGCTTGCACTGTCAGGGTTTGCCCATCTCTTCAAAGCCGCTTCACCTTGGGCACCGTGCCCCATTGCTTTTCCCGACATATTTGTAGAGCCCCATGCGTTCCGCAGCGCATTTCGCTTTCGTTCTACCTCGCCGCGCCGTAGACAGGCCGCCTGCGCTGGTACCTTGAAAGCCGCAGATCCGCGTGAATGTGGCGCGTGAATTTTTGCACTGTTCCAGCGAAGCGCCTTCCCGGATACGTTTTACCCTCCCATCGCCGGGGCCCTGGGACCGTCGAAAACCGATTCAGGATGGAAATCCGGTCCCAGGGAATGGGTTCGAGACTTCGGGGTCCCAATTTTTTTAATCAAGACATCGGTTCTTTGGAAGGGGATGTCGGGTTTACCAGTGGATGCCAAGGTGGATTGTGATTGTTTTAACCTAACTTAAAAGCGACTGCAAGTGCCTTAAGCGGTCCAGGGGAGGTAGGTAATTCTGCCACTTGGGCTCCGCCCATTTAGCCCCGCTGTTCGATTGCTTGAGGAGCTGCGGAGGCGACGGGTTGAAACGTCGAGTTCCGATGAGTTGACGCCAGAGCGGGCCAATGCCGCCCCCAGCCGCCCGCGCGCGTGCCCCAGCCTCGTCTCGGAAGGGGCCTCGTGAGAAGCTGCTGGAAGCCCGCGCGCCGCCCGAACGATGTCATCTGACTTTGGGCTGGCGCGCGGCGACGCGCCCGAGGGCGGAAGCTCGGTGCGCGCAGGAGGTCGCAGCGTCCAGCAGGTGCGCCAAGGTCGTCATGGTGATCGACATCCCCGTGACTGATCTCGTCGACCTTTCGGTGGATTACATGGACTGCCCTATCTGCCATGCCGCATCGGTTGCCCGCGCGATGAACTAGCTGGCAGGGGTAGTGCACGCCCGGCCGAAGGTGGCAAACGGTGGTCCTCACACCCTTTGCCGAAATTGGCGCGCTCTCAAGGGATGGTAGAACCTTTGTCCGTTGACGTCTCGTTTGTCCGAGGCGTGGCTCATCTGGTGTGCCTTGGTGAACGATCTGGCTCAGCGCGGCCGTCAGGATGGGTCCCTGTGCCTGTGGCAGATGGAGCGCGTGCGCCAAGCCAATGCAACCGATGGCTCTCCAGCCCGAGTATCAGCGTGCTTCCCTTGCAGGTTGCTATCTTCTGAGCGGTGCAGCTGGGCCTCGAGCCCAAGGCCGCGACGACCAAGGCAAAGGAGTTCGACGCGACGATCGAGCTCGACCACGACTTGTGGCGCCCGCTGGAGCCAATGCTCCAGGAGCTGCGCGGGCTGCCCACTTCCCGGAGGGTCTAAAGTTTCACGTGCCAGAAGCCAGCGGCCTCAGCGCAGAGGGTCGCGAAGGAGCTCGGTTTCGACCTAGTGGTCTACCAGGCGCACCACAGCGGCGCCAGCTCGGACATGGCGAGTCGCACGAGGACGCCGGCGGAGGTCAAGAAGCGGAATGGCTGGAAGGCGAACAGGCCGGTGGTCCGCCACGGGAAGGTCGCGGGCCTTTCGAGCACTTGCACCCGCCGCCCCCACCGTTTGCAGGACCGCCCCAGACGTTGCCAGGAGTCGCTCGTGGAGACGATGTTGCGCGGGCTCCCAGTGGCAAAGCCCGTCGCCACCTGCTTGTGAATGAGCGGCGTCTGTCCGTGCTCGTGATAGGAGGCGCACTCATGGGCGCTCACCGCATCACTGTCCAGTGTTTTCTCGTGAGATACCTTTTAGCGCTTGAGGCCAGAGGCGCCTCGTGGCATTGCCTTCAACGGGACTCGTTGGAGAAACGCTTTGGGGCAGCGTGCGTGTCAGTGACTCGATCTTGTCAGCCTGGTTTGGGTCAGTTTCTTCGAGCCGCCTCGAGGCGGGGGGGCGTCGTTTTTTGTTGTCCGCCCTGAAGGCAGATGCTGGTGCGCGTGAGAGGTTGCTAGGAGATGTCTCTGACAGTGAGGTTTACGTTTGACATATGTGCACATTTTGTGGTAGAGTGACAAATTCATAACGACATTTTTTTTGCTTGGATACCGTCTGCCGACTGCCCCCTCCTTGGCCTGAAGTACCCAGGCAACAATGTGAAGGACGGCCATTCCCTTAATCTTTCTCCTCTCGGGCTGCCGCGCTGGCCCCAAAGCGTTTTCAGCGTGCCTTGGCTCGTTCGGCCTTGGCGTCCCACGGGCTCCTGTTACCTATCAACGCGAGAACAGACTCTGCTAGGGGGGGTCTGGTTCGGGACCTTCTGGGGTGTTTTCAGGTGCGGAGTGGAACCACCGCCTCTCCCACCTCGGACCCGTGTGGTTTTTTGACTAGCGAGTGCAGTAGAGAGACATGTCCCACAATGAGAAGACCACCGTGAATCATGAGTGCGCGCGCGCATGAATAATTTCGCGGGGTTCGGGATACCTCACCGTGCCACTCCGTAGCTGTCTTGGCTCACCTCCCTTCTCGAGCCCCTTCGAGTTCTCCCCCCCTTCTCCCCCCCCCCCCTGGATTGCCTGGGTCCCCATAGGCGGAGCGGAGCCTCCACCCCTCCCATCTCGGATCCGAGGCGCTTTGGCCAGCGAGCGCAATGGAGAGAAGTGCTCACCGTTGAGAGATCCATAGCGCATCAGTTTTGAAGTGCTGAGGTGCACATGGCCCGGTGCGGACGGCCACGACTTCCGATGAACAAGTACCCAAACGGGGTGGTGATCACACCGTGTGGTGAGTCGGTGGGGATTCGGGGTCACCGCACGGTTTTGCGACTTGGGTCGTTCTCCGAGGATGTCTCGGGCGACTGGAGCCTCCAGGGTCCCAAAACCGTGTGGTGACGGACCGTGCGGTGAGGTCTTTGCGGATCTCGAGGTCACCGCCGGGCCTGTCACCACACGGTTTTGGGACACCCAAAAGCACTGCGGTTCCCATGGCCCGGTCCGAACGGGCACGATCTTCGTGGGGAAGATGCGCGAAGGCGCAGACGGCCGTGCTCTCACCCCTGTCCTGCCTGTCAGCGTTCGTCGGCGACCTGGGGCATGTACAAAACGACGCGAAGCTCGGGACAAAATCGGATCGGGATACCTCGAAGTCTCTGAGAATCGGCGGGTTTGGAGGATGTATGGGGCGCCGCGGCCGCTCCAGAGCGTTCCGGAACGCTCTGAGAGCGCTCCGGAACGCTCTGGAGCGATTTATCCCGATCCTAGCCCTGTTTTACTGGGGCATGTACAGGGATGCGCGTTTTCACCCGCCGACCTCCTGTTTCTCGACCCGCTTCTTCCCCTTGGCTGCCAGAAGGTGCCTTTGCAAAGACAATCTGTTACCGGTCCATTGTCAGTTTTCTCATGCTTTGTTTGCGATAGCGTCGCTGTTGTTGTGCCAGCTTCCACCGCCGTGTGTTCCCTTCCCGATTTCGGTTGCTTCCGGTTGTGGCTCCGATGATTGGAAGCGGTAAGGGGAGGCCCTGTCGCTCCCACGGCCCACTAAGGTTGGAGTACAACGCGTCCGACGCACGGGGTCAGAAGGTCTCAGGCTACAAATTCTCAGCCATGACGACTCCTGGGTGGGTTCGGACCTATTCGGATCGTCGCATTGTGGTGGATTGCGACTTGAGTCTCGAGTTCAATTCCAAAATGAATTCGTTTCTGAGGGATCTCAAGTGGATGAGCAATGATGGGGGATAGTCGGAACAACAAAACACCAGGTTATATTCCAACATCAGTGTCAGAAATGACTTCGAAAATCATCGTCAAATCCATGATATATCTACACATCATATGTCTGTTCTGGCTTGGACACCACCCGAAAGGTCATCCAAGACATGGCCGAAGGCATCGCGGACAACACCACCATCTCTCTCGGCGGCTCCGCTGGCTCGAGGCTCAAGACGCCGCGGCTGACCCAGCGAGCCTGCATCATCATGGACGAGGTGGACGGCATGGGAGGTGGCCAGGGGCAACGCTAGGAAGGGACAGGCTCAGAGGGCGACACATCGACGCCCGACCGACCATGGATCGCCGATAGGGGCCCGATAGCTCACCCCGCCTGGGAGTATGCGGATTTCGCAATCGGGGGCGTATCGCCGATTTCTCGTCGACGCATCGCCGATCCCGGGTCGATCTTTCTCTTTCTGCGATCTTTCTCTTTCTGCGCTGGCCCCCCTCCTGACGCTGCTTATCCGAGGTGGGGACCGCGGAGGCAGCGCAGCGCTCATCTCGAGAGCAGAACGACGGCAAGAGCAGAAGCTCTCGGAAGTCCGCGTAGATCTCTTCGGTCGGCACCGGTCCCTCCCTCCACACACCCCTGGGAAGCGCCTTGGGTGCCCCTTTCAGGGCTCGTTTCGATTGTTCCGATTCGATTCGATTCGGCTTCGTTGGTTTCCGATTTCGATTCGATTCGATTGGGGTTTCCGATGTGGGCTCCGATTTTTCATTGGAGGCACACTAGCCTCCCGATTTCCGCCGATTCGATGTTTCCCGATTCGGCAGCCGATTTCCGCCGATCCGATCTATTTCGATCGCCGATCCGACTTATCGATTCGATTCTGGGGTCG